GGGGGGGGGGGGGGGGTTGGGAGTCTGCAAACTTGGTTTGTGGCTTGCAGATGGTTAGGAAGAGAAGTGGAAGCAACAGATCCCCGATGCAGAAGATCGCACCTGCATTCTCCAGGAATCTGGGATCCAGGTTGTTTAATTGCATTCTTGAGAAATGGGGGGGGGGGGGAATCAGCCTGACTGCAACTGTTTTTGCAGGAATCACAACAAAGCCCATCTCTCTGAGCAAATTCTCGGCTTATCTCGGGGCCCCAAGCGGCCCATCGCTCTGTGCAGGAAGGAACGAGGAAAGGCCAGAAGCCAAGGAAACGGAGTACAAAGCTTTTAACGATTGAATCTCCATCGCCAAGAGATCTCCCTTTAATGATCTATTATCGACGCAAGCAGTCCTCGACTTGCGACCATTCTTTCGGCAACTCTTTGAAGTTGTAATGATGCTGAAAAAAAGGGGACTTATGGCTCCTCAGGGGCAGGACCATCACCACATCCTTCGTGATCCGTGCGCTGGGGAACGATAGCGTGCGTTTATGACAGTTGCAGCGTCCTGGATCATATAGCTGACCATTGTGACATACAGACATACACACACACACACACACACACACCAGGGGCAGCTCCTGGTAAGCCAAGTTAATGGGGGAAGCTGGATTTGCTTAGCAACTCTGTGATTCACTTAGCAACCATAGTGATTTGTTTCATGACGGTTGCAAAAAAAGTCATGAAATTCAGTGCAGCTCACTTAACGGGCACCTCGCTGGCCCCAATACTTTGGGGAGGGGGCGGCAGAAGGCTGCCTTTGACCACTATGTAGCCCACCACAGACCTCATGTTAAGGGTGAAAGGAGCCGGCCAGATTTATACAATATGAATTAAGTCAGCTGCTCTGATTAATTCGCTTGAAATTCTGCTGTTCTCAGCCACAGGGATCTGGCAAAGGAGACCGAGTGGGATCTGGGTGCTTTGGCCTCCAAGGAGGAGAGGCAACACCCCTAAAAGTTTTGGGAATAGTCACAAAAATCTGAATTATCAATCATTTTGGGATGTGGGAGACAGAATAAAATGTTACACTCAGAACTGGACATTTAAATCGTGTTACTGACATCATTGTCTACGAAGCCATGCTCACTCTGTGGAAATAAACCAGGGGAGCTCCACGCTTAGCAGAAAAAGGCAGGGAGGGCTTCAAAGGCAAAAAGGAGGTCTCCCAAGATGGGAATATAACAACTGAGGGACCCGGTTGCTCAAATGGAGCAGATGCAAGAGGATTAAGGGAGCTAGAAAGGATCTTGGAGGCCACCAGAAAGGCAGGAGTTCAAATATCTGGCGTCAAATCCAAAATGAAGGCGTTTGGCCGTGTGATGGACAGCATTCTGGATTAAAATAAATGGAGGGACACCATGGTGTCTCTCCTCACCTGCCTGGCCCAGGAGAAGACCTGGTCGATGCCTTCCTATGGTCTTCTTGCAAACCTTCCAATGAAGCTTGAAGTCACAGTGACTTTAATTACTCAGATTCCTGAGGCTCATGAACAGGAAGCGGTGAGAGGAGTAAGAAGGTGTTGGCATGCAGCAGGTCTTGATTTTAAGAGAAACTGGAGTTCCTTGCCTAGCGTGGACTTTCAACAAACAGGTTTAATCAACCCGGAGAAGCAACAATGAGGCGGCAGGGGAAGGGAAAGGAATCCAAGAGCAAGGGGAGTTGACAAAGAAGGACTTGCTAAAAAGGGAACAGCAGACAAGTGAGGAAAAACAGAGGCCGGGAGACGGGCCAAGGTCGGATGGAGCTGCAGAAGGGAAGAGGCCACCCAGGGATACTACCAGGAGGAGCTCCTCTCAATCTCTGCTCAAAAGGAAGAGGATCGGCATTTCTGGCTGGTCAGAGAAGAAGGCGAAATGCTGATGGGGAACAAAGAAAGAGAACTAAGAGCCGAGACAGAGGTGCCCCCACTCTTCAGCCTCCCCAACAAACGTGATTCCACCAGGAGATGGTGGAAAGTCAGAAGAAGAAGAAGGACCCAACAGAAGTTTAGACCAAGAGCAACACGGCCAAGAAATGAATTTAAATCGCGAGGTCAAGAAGACTCCATCGTTTAGACCTGAAGATCACCTGGTCCACTCCTATATTCCCAGAGGAGAAAGCAGACACACACACCCCTCTTTCTGTGGTACCCTCCCCACTCAAGAAGACTTCACACCCAGAGACTGACTGTCTTCAGGGGGTGGGCGATTATTTATAGTTTGGGGAGTGGCTTGATGTTGACTTTTTTTAGCCTCCGAAATGGAGATGGGATGGTCTACCTGCTTTCGCCTTCAATTAGCTGAGGTGGGGACTCCCATCCCACCCAGGGAGGCGGAGGTCCGGTGGATGCCTACGTGGGGGAGGAGTGGGTTCCGTGCTTTCCCCCTCTTCTTCAATTGCCCTGGTCCCATTCAGCCGTTTCTCCAGTCTTCCCGCATTCTCTCAATCAATCCCTCACCAAGATACAGTACAAGAATCTCGTATGGGCAGCCATGTCAAGATCCCCTTCAGTGGGGCTGGGTGGAGGAGCCCTCTGAGTGGGGCTACCTCCTCAGATCCCTGAAGAGCAGAATAGAATAAGAGAGTTTCAAGGGACCTCAGAGGTCTTCTAGTCCAACCCCCTGCTCAAGCAGGAAACCCTAGGCCGTTTCAGACAAATATTTGCAAACCTCTCGGGTCTTTCCCGGATGCCTGATAACATTTTAGAACATTCATAACTTGATAGCAACGCAGTCACGACCAGAGGTCAGTGTGAAGTTTTGAAGAAGTCTTGCCAACTTAACCTGATTTTGCTTTTCGTTGGGCAATTTCCTTTACTGATAGCAGAGCTTTCTGTTTTGCTAGGGAAATGATTTCAGCAAAATATCCCATGACATTCTGAGTAATAAGCTATTTAAGTGTGGGCTGAATCAATCATCAGGTAAATCCACAGCTGCCTTAAAAATTGTGCTCAAAGGGAGGACAATCAATGGTGCCACATCAGGCACTGAGTCAGACCCCCCCAACGCAGCAATATTTTTATCAAGGGATTGGACGAAGAGGTAAGGAAGTGCTTTGCCAAGTTTGCAGGTGACTAAAAGGAGGGAGTTAGTCAACTGGAAGACAAAAGTAAAATTCAAAACAATCTCAGTAGGTTGGAGGGAGGGGCGAAACAAAGGAATTAGACTTATGACTATTCATTTACTCACGGTTCAAAGTTACTTTCAAAGCGCTGAAAGAAGTGGCTGATGATCTGTCCTTGCCCTTACCATCATCACAGCCTCTCTGTGACGACATGATCCATTGGGTTGTATTTATTTTGTACAATGACAATAGAGACTGTACTAAATTGAAATTCTACCGTTTAGAATGGAGAAAGAAAAGAAGAGAAAAAGGAGGAGAAAAAGGAAAAAGACAAAAGACAAAAGAAAAGAAAGAAAAGAAAAAAGAAGGGAGGGAGGGAGGGAGGGAGGGAGGGAGGAAGGAAGGAAGGAAGGAAGGAAGGAAGGAAGGAAGGAAGGAAGGAAGGAAGGAAAGAAAATTGTGCAGAAATCAAAGAAAAAAGAATAGAAAAAGAAGCAACTTTGTACAATGACAATAGAGACTGTACTAAATCAAAATTCTACTATTTAGAATGGAGAAAGAAAAGAAGAGAAAAAGGAGGAGAAAAAGGAAAAAGACAAAAGACAAAAGAAAAGAAAGGAAAGAAGAAAGAAGGGAGGAAGGAAGGAAAGAAAATTGTGCAGAAATCCAAGAAAAAAGAATAGAAAAAGGAGCAACTTTGACGGCACTTGTAAGTGTAAATATAAAATAAACACTCCACGGTTACAACATTATTTACATTTTCCCAATAATCTATTATTTTCTTCCAGTCACATAAGACCCTTTTCTCCGTTGCCCGCAAGGAGGGGCTCCATCAAACCATCAGTCAACCAGTCCTGCCCCTAATTAAAGCCCCCGCCCCCAGCCGCCCCCTCAACCTCCCTCACCGCCAGGGAAGTTCTCTAGTTGTCCTCGTGCGTTTCGCCATAATAAATAATAAATGTCAAGAGAGACATTGGACTCAAGAACACGTCAAAGGGCTCTCCGCCGGGAGACGCGCTCTGCAAAACCTACGCAGGTTAAGACAAAGTTACGTAAAGTGGTGGGTACAAAAATACACACAATTCCCGTGCGAAAGAATGATCCGGTGAGCTTGAAAGACTCAGAAAAGTGAGAGAGGGGGAGGGTGGACACAGACTCCCCCCCCCCTGAGCCGGGGATCCTTTCCTTGCTTGAAGCCCCCCTTCAAAAGATCAACACCCACCAATCCTCCCCCAGCTGCCCATCCGGTGCCCTCAGGAGGAAGCCTTACCTTTCTGGCAACGGGGGCATCTTTCTGAGTGAGCAGGGGGGCTCCTGGTGGGGAGGGTGGGAGCTGAGACACCACCCCAGCCTTGTAGCCCACCGCAGAGCAGCTCCTTGGGCTCCGGGCCCCGAAGCCAGAGAGAGCAGGCTGCCACTCGCTGCGTAGCAAACCTGAAATTCCACCCAGCCTCCCTGCCGCTCTCGCCCGGGTGAAGTGAAGCAGGCGGCGAGTAGAGACACATCCAGGCTGTCTTGAGTGGGGAGGGAGGGCCAGGCAGCCCCTCCCCTAGAGCCTCCGGGGAGAAGGAGCCCACCTGGGCCTCCTGGGTCCCCTCGGGATGCCCTGGGCTCTGCCAGGGAGACCTGAGCTGCCCGCTTAAGGTCTGGGTGGACGGAGCAAGAGGGACAATAAGAGATCCAGCCCAGGAAGCTCATCCTAGCAGGGCTGAGTAATCCTGGCTCATATAGGCATCGTGTTTCATATCCGCTTCGTCAGGGAAAACTTTAAGAACTATACAATGCTCTTTTTTTTTTTTACATACATGCATGGATCTATTATTATATATAGGTGGACTCCAATTTAAAGTCATTTATTTAATTTGATTTGATTTGATTTGATTTGATTATATTTATATGCCGCCCTTTTCCCCCGAAGGGGACTCAGGGCGGCACACAATTCAAATCAGGGAAGGGGGGTACAGACAAAAAATTAAAAAACGAAACATAACAATACATAATTTAAAAACACACAACAGTCATACCATTCGAGAGGGGGGCAACAGCTCTTTAGCCCCAGGCCTGTCGGAACAGCCAGGTTTTAAGGGCTTTGCGGAAGGCCTGGACGGTGGTGAGGGTTCGAATCTCCACAGGGAGTTCGTTCCAGAGGGTCGGAGCGGCCACAGAGAAGGCTCTCCTCCGGGTAGTCGCCAGTCGACACTGGCCAGCGGATGGAATTCGGAGGAGGCCTAGTCTGTGGGATCTAATCGGTCTAGTGGAGGTGATTGGCAGCAGGCGGTCTCTCAAGTACCCAGGTGACCGAAGTTACAACAGCACTGAAAAATGGGACTTGTGACCATTTTCACACTTACAACGGTTGCAACCTCCCCGTGGTCGCGGGATCAAAATTCAGACCCTCGGCAAACTAATTCATAATTATGACGGTCGCAGCGTCCCGGGGTTCATGGGAATCCCATTTTGGGACGTTCTCATGAGCCAAGTCGACGGGGAAGCCGGATTCACTTAACAACCGGGCTGCTAATGTCACAACTGCGGCGATTCCCCCTCGGCAACTCTTGGCAAGGAAGGTTGCGAAACGTGGGGAAACTCGCTCAACGACTGTCTCGCTTAGCAACAGAAATGTTGGGCTCGATTGTGGTCGCGAGTCGAGAATGACTTGCTATGTCGTTGCCTCTCCACCACCACCCCAGAAAAGAAAATGAAAGTGGGGTTTATCCTTTAGTTCAGGCGTCTCCAAACCTTGGCGACTTTAAGCCTGGCGGACTTCAACTCCCAGAATTCCCCAGCCAGCCAAGCTCCCATTCTGGGCGTTGAAGTCCGCCAGGCTTAAAGTCGCTCAAGGTTCTTTTGCAGCCAAATGTGAAGACGAGGACCCCCCACCCCACCCCACAAAGCCACATCAGCCCATCTTCTCCTCCCCCCCACATTTTATTTACCTCTTAAGGCCAGTTCATCCAGGTCAAAGACCCAGTGGGACCAGGACAAGGCCAGGCAAGGGAGCTCTCAAGACGCCTCCGTGGGATCTGTGCGAGAGAAAGAGGCTTCTTTTAGTCTCCGCTTTCATGGTTTCGCTTCGGTCTCAGTCCCGCAGGTTCAGAAAAAAGAGAATTACAGCCCCCGATTTCCAACCGTTCATTGAGTTACCGCTGCACTGGGAAAAGTGGTTTTATGATAGGTCCTCCCGGTTACAACCATTGTAGCATCTGCTGCCTCCCACACACCCCCCGTGGTCACGTGATCAGAATCTGGGCAGGTGTTTAGGACAGTTGCAGCAGATGTGGGTTCCTACCAGTTCGCACCAGTTCGGTAGAACCGGTTCGTCAAATCTACCAAACCGGTTAGAAGAGGTTCCACTAGAAAGCAGGCCACACCTACAGAAGAGGTTCCAAAATTTTTTGAACCCCACCACTGACACACACACACACACACACACACACACA